TGCAGACCATGGGGGAACAGGGATGGCCAAATCTGGAATCACCTGGGTCAGAAGCACACCGACCGCTGCTGTGGCAGGGGGAGGGGGAGGGTAGGGAGGAAGCCAGGTTAGTGGGGGACTGCCTCCATGGTGACCTGTTTGCTTGTGGCCACAGGCACTGCCTCAGTTGGGAGGCCAGGGCCCTGTGTGTGCCTCTGCTGCTGCTACCAGGCTCTGAGCCATGGCCGGGGACCAGGATCACAGGACTCCACCTCTGCTGCTGCTCTGCTCCCTGTGGCCACAGGCACCACCGTGGCTGAGAGGCTGGACTTGCGCATGCGTCTCTGCTGCTGCTCACTACGTTCTCTGGGGTGGGGGCGGCTGGCTCAGTTGCTGTGGCCCTGGGGGCCAGGATCCTGGGCACCGCCTCCGCTGTGTCCCTAGATTGCCTCCTTTGTGTCCTCCAGTCCACCCACCTTTGTATGTATTGATGTGTGGATCTCTGGCATCCTGGTGTGTTGGGCAAAATAGCCTTTGTTGAGTTTATGTCACTTGCTGTAGATGTAAAGGGATTGTCTCATGCCACCATGATGATGATGTCTGATTCATCTCTTGATTCATCCAGTGTTGATTGGTCATCCGCTGTGTCCATGTGTGAGGCACTTACTGCACAGTGCCAGGTAATCTCTGAAGATAGAAAAAGCAGCAGTCATTTCCTGTCCTCCAAGGGTATAGAGCCTGCCTGGTCATCAAGTGTATGCCTCTACAAGCAAAGGCCCAAGGTGGCACTGGGCTCAGGAGGACAGAGGGAGGACTGGGCCAACACCTGGGAGCCCAGAGAGGGCACTTCAGTTTGCAGCAGGGCATGGGAGGCAGTGACACTTGACATGGGCCTTGAAGATTGAGTGGGATTTTCACTGAAGTGGATGGAGAAAGCATATTCCAGGAAGGGACCACTGAGCAGAGACAGGAGGCCCCAGCCATGTCCACACCATCAGTGACTATCATCTGGCTGATCACTCTGGGGAAGGGGATGGACAGAAAACAAAACAGCGTCCCTGTCTGTCACCTGTGTGGTCTGCATTTTCGGGTTGTGGCCTCGTGGTCATGTTGTGTTCATTCCCAAACCCACAACTGCCAGACCCCGTTGGGGCAGATCAGTGTTTTGCATTGAAATGTGTCCTTTATTTGGGTGGCTTCACTACCTCTTAATATACTGTTTCATACACTATTGAGTCCCCCTGCCCAACGAGCAGCATTTCTGAGTGAAGCTAAGGGATGTGTTGAGGGAAGGGGCCTGGCTATCTTGCAGAAGCCAATTTCTCTTCATCCTGTTGCATCCTGTGTTCTGGAATTGGTGCGATGAGTTTGAGATGAGAGGAGGCATCCCACTGCCAGGCCCAGATGTTTGACAATGTGTTAATCTCCCTGTTCTGGAAAAGAGGGGAAGTGAAATTGTTCTGATTATTTTTCTAGTGTTTCCAGCTCAGCTCTCTTTCTTAGCAGAGAACATTTGTTAATTATCAGAGGCTCTTCCTGACGCAAGAGAGGAGAAGGAGGGGTTCCTCCAGATGCTGGTTAATTATAAGAAGTGCTGGGGTGGGTGATCAGGAGGGAGGGTAGTACCATTATCCCTCCGCAGATGGACTCATAGCTAAGCACAGTGACCTGGCGGCCACACTGGGAACCACAGATGGGTGACAGCACCGGGTCTTCCTCAGTGCCTGTGACTGGCTAACTGTGCTTCCTAGGCCAGCAATGACTCTGTCCCCACCCTGCCTCGGTGTGCCCTCATGTCTGGCTGCCTCATCAGGCCTTCAGTGCAGAGCCATCCCGTGTGCATGCTGCCAGGTCAGCTGTAATGACCCCTGTCTCCTGCTGGCCAGCGTCAGTCAGGGTGGATGAGGAACCCAGGCAGAGCTGGGGCATGAGGGGGACGCAGAAGCAGAGGCTTCTGGTGCCACGTGTGCACTGGCCCTCGTGGGGCAGAGGGGCTGCTGTGTGGACTGTGAGTGGACAGAGCTGAGTGCCATACCCTGCAGCTTTCTGTGTGGCCTGTGACACACTGGAGAGTGGGTTTGAAAGGCATATTCAGATTGAGTAGTGCCACAGATGTAACTTGAGTTGTCTCATCCTTGTAGAGAGGTTGGATGAAGAGAAAGGAAGCAGATTGCCTTCTGCGTTAGGCCATATGGAGAGTCCCCCAGCATCCGTTTTCCTGAATTCTCTTTCTCTAGAGGTAACATCTGGAAGCACAGAGGCTGATGTTTTTAAGACTTTTTTAAAAAGTTCTTCCAAATTAAGGTCACTCACACACTAGGCACAATGTTCTCCCCACCCCTTTCCCAGTGACTGTTCCTGACAGGCAAGCCCAGAGAAGAACAGCTCCAGCCAGGCTTTGGGAATCTGGGGACAGAACAGACTAGATCCACTCATGTATTGGGTAAGGGTATAACACACAGTTCCCACCCTGCCCTCTGAATCTGTAGCACTCAGCTGTCTGTCTTCCATTTGCTCAACCATCAATCACCAGGCTTGTCGTATCTGTAACACTGTCACCTTAGTTTCTAATGCTGCCTTGTATTCTTATTTAAGTATTCAACGTGACTTACCTTTTGTAAATGTTTGGTACATCTACACAAATGGACTGTAGGCTTTTCAAGGAGGAAAACCCAGCAGTTCCTTTAACGCAGCGTATTAAGGAACTGCATTCTCCTTCCCTTGGCAAAAGCTGCTTGCTGTTGTTCAGATATAAAGCATTGTTATATTTGAACTCTCTAGGGATAGATCCTGGAAGCCCTCTTGGAGGAGGTACCTGAATTGTGAGTCACATATAACCTGAGTGAGGAAGGCCTTGCTCGTTCATGGTGTTGGGGCGTGTCAGGCCCCCCTGCTCTGCAGACTAGCTAACAACAAATGCTCCTGCAGTCTGGGGGTCCCAAAGAGGGACACGCTGTTGGCTGTGAGGAGAAGGCCCCAGGGTGATGGGTAAGTCCCGGGCTCGGGACTCCCTTAGCTAAACAGGTAAAAATCCAGGCATCTCCCGAGGGGACAGCTTTCCTGCAAACTGACCAGACAGGGCAGGGAGAAGGGGGTTGAGCTGGACTTTTAGGAGCCGGGGTAAACCCGGCTGGTAGACATCTCCAGAAGACACGAGCATGACTGGAAGGGCGTCAGCCCAGCTGTACGTCTCTGGAGACGGGAGCGGCACTGTCCCTCACGAGGGCCAGAGCAGGCCTGACAAGGCTTGGGAGCACACCTCAGTGCCACTCCCAGAAAGCAGGAGCCCGAGAAAAGAGTCAAGAGAAAGTTCTGAAAGAGGAGGAGACGCCCTCACGTGGAGCAGTGCTGGCCTGGATGCAGAAGCACAGGAAAACACCGTTTTAGAGCGTCAAGGGCCTTGAAGCTCCCTGCCATCAGACTTGGCAGTGAGGAGCTGAGACCACAGAGGTGAAGTGACTCACCCCAAATAAATCAGAAGCAGAGCCAGGAGTGGAGTCCTTCACCCACTCCCACGTTTGTTCACAGACGTGCTGAGCACTCGCAGGGGCTGGGCCTGTTCTAGGCCCTGGATCCGGGTTTCCTGACTCGCACACAGGGCTCCTCCAATCCCCAGGCCTCTTGCCTTCATCTCAATCTGAAAAGCATATCTGGCATCAGACTCAGACAAAGTTGAGCCCACAGAGTGCCAAGATAAAAAACCAAGCTCACCCCCAGATCTGAAAGAAGCTGATAAATCAAGGAAGGGGTAGCAGAACTAGTTCCACGGATTAAATTACCAGGTACAGGACGACTTAGCATTTGAGAAGTCTGTGACTCTGTGTGTGTGTTGACCTTTACCCAAGATAGGCACTTGGAATATAAACTTTAAAAAGTGGAAATGGGTTTTTGTATTTGTTTTAAATACATCAGGATGAGAGAGAAGTTGGGGGATGGGGACAGGCCGGGTTGGGGAGGGCTCAGATGTAGGAGGAGAGGAAGCCATTCTGAGAAGAAGGGTGGTTTTAGCGTGAAAAGGGGGGTTTGCCAAATGCCAGGCCCCTGCACAAGTGGAATTGGAGGCTAGAATAGGACTAAAAGTGGGTCCTCTAGTTCTGTCTGGCAGAAGACAGTCCCTGTGCCACCAAGTACTGAGTGAATTCCTCAAACTTCTGCTCGAGACACTCCCCATTCAGAAGGTTCTGCTGCTCCTGGGAAAGAACAGCCAAGTGAAGAAACCTCTTGGCTTCACAGCCACAGCCTGGAATCCTCACCTGTGCTAATAACAGCCATAGCTGATGCTTACATAGTGCTTTATACTCTTGGCAGCATTTATCCAACTAATAACTCCGTGAGGTACTTAAGGAAGGTGTTATTATTCCTATTTTGCAGATGAGGCAACTGAGGTTCTGGGAGATGAATGGGCTTGCCTAGGTCACAGAGGTAATCTACAGGAGAGCCAGGGCTGAGACGGTCTTGGGCTTCTGAATCCAAGTCTGACATTTTTCCTTCCATGTTCTCCTGCTTTACCTGAGGGTGGGGAAGGAATCCAGGTTTTAATCTGTTTGGCAAGACCATCATGCCTGGCCCCTGGAGTGAGTACAGATAAGCAGACGCGGGGTGGGGCCGTTTCCTGTGGTTTTATTTCCTGGCCCAGTGCTTTCATTCAGGTGGCTCAGGAGGCATATGGAGATTTTCCTGGGTTCTGTTGACCTGGTCTTCTCTGGTTCAAGTTTCTTCCATCACAAAACATATTCATTAATCATGACAGTACAGTTTTTAATATGGGGAAATTACTCGAGAAAGAAGAAATAAATTGGTAAATAAATTTTAAAAATTTCACGAGGTGTTCCTGGAACCTTTAATCCCAATGATTCTCCAGTGAGTCTGGGTCGCTCTGTGGCTGCGTGGGCAACCTCAGTGCCCTCAGGTCACAGAAGAAACATGGCGAGAAGTACACGGGCCTTGGCCGTGTCTTTTCCAGGGACCCGTTGGCCTGGGGTCGGGGCACATCGCTGACTGTGTCTGCCCTTCCCTTGTAGAGCCGCCAACTTCAGGAACTTCAGCTTCATCGCGCTGAGCGGGGAGTTCTCTCGCGGCCGGGGGCTCGATGTTGGCGCCCGCTTCTGGAAGGGCAGCAACGTCCTGCTCTTCTTCTGTGACGTCGACATCTACTTCACCTCGGAATTCCTCAACACGTGCAGGCTGAACGCGCAGCCAGGTGGGGCCGTGCAGGCTGAACGCGCAGCCAGGTGGGGCCGTGCAGGCGGCCTTCCTCTCTTTCCCTCGGGGAGACACTCTCCCACCCTCACGCCGCCGCCTCCTCACGGGTCACTCTCACGTCCTGCTTCTGAATCAGCCGTGCTTTACTCCAGAGGAGGATCATCTGGTCTCATTTCTCCTTTGGGCTCACAGTGCGGCCTGTCAGCCGCCACAATTCTGGGCTCCTTGTCCAAGTTCCTGTCTATAACCTCTTCCGTTTTCCTCTGGGAGGTGGGCATTCGCGGACACCCACAGGAGAGAGTGTGGTGGGGAGGACGCAGACCTGGAAAAGCTGCCTGAAACTAAAGGGAAAGGAGTAGCTGTGGGGTCGCCGCGGGAGGGCTCTGAGCAGAAATAGTGCACAGTACGAAAGTTATTTTCATGGATTTTGACTCATAGGCAGGACTGATATTCAGCTGATAACTACTGGGATGGCCATGTCAGCTGTTAAAATAATTGAAACTCTTCTGTGTAAATTGGTAAAGAGCAACCGCCCTGGGCTTCCTGAGTCTCACCCTGCTGTGCACAGTCACCCCAGTCCCTCTGGCAACCCTTCAGACTGCCACATGAGCCAGCAATTAAAGGGGCAACATCTGGCAGGGCAGGGGGCACGAGGACTCTCTTTCACATGCACGCCCATTGGCTGATGCCCAGTGCCAGAGCCACTGACTGTCAATATTGTGAATGTCACTCCTGTGCTAGCAGGTCAGCAGTGTTTGCGAGTCTGTGCGTCTGCTGTACCTGGTGCAGCATGTCTAGGATCTGTGTTACAGTCCAGTGAAGGGGAAAGGAAAAGTGGGTGCAAATATCTGGGGTGTTTCAGGGGGTTAAAAATACATGAACAAGCCTAATAGTTTCAGCTGTTGCTTTAAGCGAATGTTTGTTTTCTGGTTTGCAGGGAAGAAGGTATTTTATCCGGTCCTTTTCAGTCAGTACAATCCTGCCATAATATACGGCCACCATGATGCTGTCCCCCGCTTAGAGCAGCAGCTGGTGAGTAATTACCCGCAGGCACCTGGTGTGGCTCTATTTCACATCTTGCATTCCAGGGGCGCCTGACCATGAGGCCAGGTGAGTGGAGTCTGTGGATTGATTCCTGTGGTAATTTCTAAGTTGGGCAGGCGTTCTGGCCTTTGCTCCCGGAGCCTTCTTGATTAAAAGTGCTTGCAATATTTAAATGTGGAAAATAAATAGGAACCGTGCCTTACAGAAAGGTAATTTCACTCCTTCATAGTTTTCTTCTGTGGTTTTTGGAAACTAGTCTTATTGCATTATGGATGCAGCACATTTTCTCTTTATTATTATGAAATCCTACAAGGTAAGAAGGGTGAGATTTATGTTCTCGTTTGACACAAGGGGGTGGCTCGCCCCAGGGCACACAGTGAGTGAGTCACTGGGGGAGCAGGGACCAAATCCAGTGCCCTTCCCATCAGGCCACCACTCCCATGTGTCACAGTGCCTCGGGGTGGACGTTAGCATCAGAGGGGTCACCGGCAAGGTGGCTTTCAAAGGAATATAGGAGGGACTCCTCTGCTGAGAGCTTGGCTGCACAGGTGATGGATGGTGGCACCACACAGCTCCAAGGATCTCTGTTAGCAGAGATGTCTCCGTTGGTGGTGGCAGTTAGTCCATTCAGCGGAGGAGCAGTGCAGGCCACAGATGAGGAAAAGGCAGAGGAGGGTCTCTGTGCTGTATGTAGGCATGCCCCTTGTGGACAAAATTTCCCAGGATTGCTGTCACACCCTGGCTAGGCTGCGATCTGTTCCTACAGAGAGATCAGCTGGGTTAGTCTAGCTCAGGCTGAATCTCGGGGGGCATCTGACCTGGGGGCTGTGTGTTCTTCATTGCCTCGGGCAGCCCTGTCTCTCGGTGCGGCAAAGCCGTGTTTCTTCCCACTGAGCACCTCTTAGGGTGAGAAAGGAAATGTGCCACGTGAATGTGGAGATGTGAGAGGACCAAGTCCCTCAAGCTTCTGTGTGATGGGAAAGTAACTGATTTTCATTGAAATCATGTGTTCTCTGAAATTCTTTCGGAGGGCTGATTCTGTGTCTAAGCTTCCGGAAGTGGCAAAATCTATTTTCTCCAGCCCCATCCTGCGCCCCCCTCCAGTTAACCTCTGGCAGCTGATGTAATGATCTTTTCCAGAAAGTTTCAGCTTGGGTTCCTTCAGGTTGGACAAGGTTCATTCCTCACCCATGTGTTAGCCTGGTTTCACTTGTACAGCAATAATAGAGTTCCCTCTTCCACCAGTGAAATATACAACGGAGACGCTGCATATCTGTTTATGTACTGTATGTCTAGATATGTGCTTTATACATAAACACGGGAAGAGTTTTTCAGTCCCCAAGAACCAATTTTTTTCTATTTTGAGGCCATGACATCCCCACTGAGACAGAAAAACTTCTTGTTTCCTTTCCGTAGGAGTTCTAAGCTTCTTATAGGGTTTGAGGGGGAAATGGGATACAGGATTTATTTTCTTTCAACCAATCAGAATAAAAGTTCCTTTGATTTTAAATAAAGTGCTGCTTTATATTTGAAATCAAATGTGATTAATGTTTCGACTTCAAACTCATAAAGACCTTATTTGCTTGTGAGGAATTCTTTTCATTTCACAGTTTTAAAGTTTTATCCTTTTATTATCATTCCTGCAGGGAGGCAGGGAGGCCAGAGGGATGGCACAGGTAAGCCAGTTTCTCAGACCCTCAGAATTAGTGGTCAAGCCAGAAATGGAACTCAGATTGCTGTGTCCACAGCTCGAGCCTCTGAATTATCCTGCAACCTTTGACATTTACTTCTAAATACACCTTAGACCTTTCCTAGAGCACCTAAGTCTGATATTTTAGGGTTCAGTATTTATGACTATTTAGTCCAGAGCGACACAGCAGTTGTCTTTGAGATGAACGGCTCTCCATCCAGAAAAAAAAGTATTGATTATGTGCTTCCCAGGATGAGCCATTTCTGAGCACTTGCCTCCTGCAGAGACCGAGTCTCCGTGTGAGTGGAGGAGTCAGAAGCACTGAAACAGCGTCGGACACTCGGAAGTGATTCGCCGGATCCTGTGCCCCCTACTTGCCCGAGATCACACAGCCAGCTGACAGCAGAGCTCAGGCCCAAACCAGCATTTCCTTGCTCTAGTGCAACAGAAATAGATTTGCTTAGGATCTAGATGAGAGCTGAAATATAAAGGAAATGACCTGACAGAAAGTCCAAAGGAGAACATCAAACTGCAGACGTTAAATATAATGGAGATAGAAGGTGTAGGTGCTGAGAAGGTGTGAAATAAAAAGTCTTGATAGGAGATGGGTAAATTAGGAAAGCCTTCCTGCCTAGGGTTCATTTGGGCTCAGTCTTGAAGATATGATGCCTATATATTAGTAACTTCCTGATGGTCCTCCCTGGAATGCACCAGAACCAAAGGTAAAGGGAGAACCCAGATCCGGGTGTGGCTGTGATGGCAGGTCCTCAGGCAAACACAGGACAGCCTTTTCCAGCAGCCCTGCAAGCACGACCTCGGTGGTCAGCGTGCCAGCTCTTACTTCTGCTTATTGCCACTGTCATTTGATAACATTTTGCCTGCAGGCAAAAGCAAGAAACCAAATTTATGATTTTTTTTTTTTTTTGTATTCCGGCTACTTGTTTTTTTACTTTTGAGTACAGACCACTAGTAATAAGTAATAAGTGAAATTACGAGATGTTATACTAATATTTAATTTTTTGAGGTTTAAACCTGAGATGAAACTTGCTGATGCTTTAATGTCGAGACAGCTCTCTGAGAAAGGAATGACTCCAATTTCCATCATTATTAACTTCAGACAGTCCCTCTCCTGGTTCAAGCCTGGCCAGTTCTCGCTGCGGCCACTGCAGGAGCCTCTTCTCACTTCTGTCTTCAGCCTCCTTCATTGCCCTGTACTCCTGCCTTTCCTTCACTCTCTGCAGAGATGCACTTCTAAAACACAGGTTAATTCCATTAAAAAAAAACCTTTTACGGCATAAAGTCAGTGGTGTGCTGATAAATGCTTAACAACCCACTCTCTGAAAGGGAAACAATAAGCCCAGATTCACAGTGTTTGCCGTGTTCCGTGGTGTCAGTGCTCCCGCCGTGGCCAATTTCGGGCTGCCGTGTGACGTCACAGGACACGGAGTTGGCAGGGACTCGCACGTTCTGGTGAGCTGGTCCCAGCCAGCTCCCACACAGCACTGCGGCCCTGGTCTCTCGTTGGGGTTACCTGCCTGCCACAGACTGGCCCACACTGATTACAGAAGAAACATTGGCAAACCCCAGCACCTGGCACGTGGCACCAGCTCAGCAGACACCCAGGCCAGGCAGGAAGCACACCCGCCCAGCATCTCCCCGTGCTGTCCCTCCACCTCTGGGCCTTCTGCTCACCATTTCTACTGCCCAACACCTCAGTCTGCTGTGGGGTCCCGCCCTTCATTTAAATTGGGTGACTTTGTGCCACTCGGTGCAGCCAAGGAAGGGCGTGCTGGCTCCTGTCCTCACCCCTCTCTGATTATACCTTTACCTCTCTACCCCTTCCAAAAAGTATGTTACCACTGACCTGCATTTCACTTTAAACTTGTAAAAATTGCTGACTGGGCATAGCCCATCCTTTTAGTCTGTTTTTATTTATTCCAGAAGCAGACACTCGCTGAGTACCAAAAGCAATATTAACAGATGCCGTCTATGCAGCCTTTCATAAGCCAGCTCTGTGCCCGCATTGTTTCCTGTGATACTCAGTGAGGTAGAGAGGCATTAATGCTCATTTCCCAGAGGAGAAACTTGAAGCTCAGCGGCATAAGTCACCTGCCAGACTCCCACAGCTGCTGAGTGGCAGGGTCAGGAACTCAAGTGCCACCTCGTGTGACGGAGATGGGGCTGAGGATGCCGAGGACAGGGGACACGTCCTCTGGCCTCACAGTGCTGCCAGGAGGGCATAGAGTCTAGTGTTAGGTTACAGATTCCTAGAACAGATGGAACCTAGACAACTCATTGTACAGCACAACACCCTTCAGAAGACACTTCATTTTTTTAATGCAGTTACCAATAAAAGGAGACTTACAGAAAAATGTGGGTTAGCACCAATCTTGGAGGAGGTGGCATTTGAGTCCATTCCTAAACCAATTCTTTGAAAGCTCTGGCTCTAAAATACTTTATTTCTCAAGAAATGGAAACTGTCACAGCAATCCCAGTGTTGGCTGGGCTGGCCACAACTGGCTGAGTGATCTTGGGTAAGTCCTCTACCGCCATATCACGAGCACGCGCATACCGTGTGCAGCCCCCCAGAACCCTGTGTGGTGTGGTCACCAAACCCTCAGGGCCCAAGTAATAAGGAACATACAGTGTGGGGCCAAGGGGCACCCATCCCAGTCACAGAAGCCCTGGAGCTCAGGTGTCTGTGCTCACGGACAGGACGGGCTGCCTGACTGGCATGGCTCAGTGCGTGACGAAAATGCAGGGCCCGTGTTCAGAAGTTGTTCAGGATTTCGAGATGGCAGCAGCCGAGCACTAAACCAGGCACGAAGTCTTCCAAGCGCGGGGCTGGGGCCTGCACGGGTCGCATACCGCTGGCGTTTCTGGTGAACGTGAGGCTCGTCAAACACAAGCTCGGTTCTTGGGAGCCTCTCTTGATTTAGAGGAAATACTCGGCCTGAGTGTTTGTTACTGATTTTATTTTAGGGCCCAGATTGGTTCACCGGCAGCTGTCCGAGTCAGCACCCTTAACCCAAACAGGCGCTGCCCGCCTCCTGGCTCCCCGGCAGCTGCGGGGCGGCCGCCTTCCCACGGCTTTGGGGACAGGCGCGGATTTGTGCTTTGTGTTTTGTCCTCACCCCCTCATGTGAATCGTCCACAGAGCTGCAGTTCTGGAAACTTCCTGTGGCAGAGCAGGCTTGACTCTGTCCTTTTGTGGTGTTTTCCTGCTCTGCAGTGCTCTGCTGAGATCTGAAGTGGGCGGAGAAAGGGAGCTGCGGAGAGTAGAGAGGAGGCCAGCCTTTGAAAGACGTTTGTAAAAGTGAGGACAGCGCTTGAAAACAGATGGGCGAGATTCAGGACAGAAGGAGGAGGTGTTTTTCTTTTCAAGTGTAGTCTTGATCTTAGGTTCTTCCTCCTTGGCCATGGTGGACGTCGGTGTGTCTCTTTTCCATACTTGGACAGAGCAGTGGGGCTCCTTAGGCCTGGGGCCAAGTTCTGAGAAGTCAGGCCTCCGTGTCAGAGCCCAGGAGCCTCCCCAGTCTGAGCTTCGCCACTGGAGTTCCTAGGCCTCCGCGGAACCACTCAATGAGAAAAATTCCCTACTTGAACCACGTCTGTTTCCACTGGCTTGGTGCTGCCTCTGCCCTAGGTCTGCTCCCCATTCCTTCATTGGAGAAACATTTATTGAGTGCCTGCTGTGTGCTGGACAGTGATCCGGGTGCCGGAGGTACAGCCGTGAACCAGACAAGATCTGAGCTTGTGTTCACCAGGAGTGGGGGCAAAGTCAGAGAAACAAATGCTTCCGCAGGATGATCTCGGGGAGCCTGGTTTATAGAGAAAGTAAACCAGGTGACTATAGAGAATGACATGATGGGGAGACTGATGCTGGCTGGGAGGGTCATGATGACCACTCTGAGCAAGAACCCAGTGGTGACCCAGGCAGGGGACTGCAGGTGTCCAGCCTTGGAGCCCTGTGAACCTGGTGCTTTTGAGGGGCAGAATATAAGGGGGACATGAGATGGGTGAGGCAGGCAGGCACCAGGTCACGCAGGGCCTCTGCAGGCTAGAAGTTTCCTTGCAGATTTTATCCTAATTGCATTAGGGAGAATGCAGTTAAAACCACTGCAGAGTTTTACTTGGGAACGTGCTGTGGTCTGCTGTGCGCTGGAGAGCATTCACTCCCAGCTGGGCTGCCTGTGGAGGGCCCACTCCAGTCGGCGAGCCTCTGACGACTGCACTCCATCTTGCCCAGATATTACATGCTGTGGGCCCGACCAAGTCAGTTCCCACCAGCGGCTGAATTTCTATGAGCTCTTCAGATAGTGGCTTTTCATGGCTTGCCAGCTTTAAAGCCGACACTAATAAGGGTTTATCTAGCACGTTCCCCAGTTCACAAATCAGTTTGTCTGTCACACTGGCTCCACGTGAGGGTCATTCTTCACCTCGTTCAACCTCCCAGGCACTGGCTCCACTCACCCCGGGTCCTGGGATGGCTATCTCCTGCAGTCCCTCTTCCTTCCCAAACCCTGGCCCATGGTTTGTCCTGTTTGGAGCTTTCTCTTTTAGATTCCATGTAGACCTCAGCCAGATATTTGAAGTTTGGATACTGGCATCTCTCTTTGACTCCATTTTCATCCAGAAGCTCAGAGGCCTTGTCGTGTCCTGGCTGGCAGAAAGGGTATACACCGTTAGCTGCACACTAACAGTGAACCTGGTAGGACTGGGATGCAGAAACCATTTTTAAAAAATGACTCAGTGGAGGTTTTTCCAGACTTGCCTGCCCTGCAAAATCTCTCCAGTTGCTACTAATGAAATTGCCTTGTCACTTGGGAGATGTATAACAGGGCTTTGTTCTGAAGAATTGAGAGCATCTGCTGGGGCCAGCGCTAATTGACACAACCTCTCTTGGTCCTTACTTTTCTGTGCCGGTCCTGACATGGCAAACAGGAGTGCAGCGACATCTGCGTGTAGGTCATAATGAAAATGAGATGGCCTCACAGGTTACAGAGTAAATGAAATTTAAGTTCATCATCCCTCCTGCCAGCCATTTGTGGAGTATCCTCTGGCCTGTGGTGTGGATAAAGTGCAACTTCAGGAAGAGGGAATAGCAGTAATAGGATGAACGTTCGGATGTCGGAGCTGGGAGAGACCTTAGGGGCGAGTTACTCAACCTCCTCATTTATAGGAAAGGGGATAGAGGCTGGAAGAAGTGAGGGACCTGCCTGAGGCAAAAAAGCCACCCCGTGTCTGGGGGGCCAGGACACTGGTGCTCCTCCCCAGCGCACCCTGCTTCTGATGAGCCGACAGGAGTCCTAGAGGGAACATGCAGAAATCCCAGTGGATGGGGGCCTGCTGCAGCCTCCGGCCCCTTCCCCTGGGAGGGGACTTCCTTTCCTCTAAGCACCTATGTTAACTACAAGAAAGAATCACGAAAAATAACTAGTAGGTTCTCAAAACCATTCCCAGCATTACCTCAGCCAAAAATATATACACAATTTTTTTTTTTTTAAGTCTTGCTGCTTCAGCAGATACGTTGGAAATTTGCTTGCAAGTGAGAGACGGAGCAGGGCCAGGGCGGGCCCCTCGCAGCCAGGCAGCCTGGCACTGCTGAGCTGCTCTGTGGAGCAGTTTGGTTCTAAAATCGTTGAAAGAGGAATGGACAGAGTCTTGCTTTCGAGTCTGGACTCTTTGTGCCTCTTTGCTCGGTGAGCGAGTCAGCAGGGCCGGAGCAACACACTCAAGTCTCGGGCTTTCTTTTTGTTCCCTGAGGGAGTCCTGTTTGTGTGCTGTTCCCCGGGCGGCTGAATTTTGAGTTGTTCTCGATCCCATTTCTCAACTTCCTGAGCCCTTAGCTGGCTCCCTGCCCGGCCCTGTGAGGCGAGGCCTCCATCTCTCGCTGGCACTGGTGTTGGGCCGGACACGTAGGTGGCTTTTCCATGGCGCTGTGCAAAAACTTGCTCTCCCGGTTTGTTTTTGAGAGAGTATGTGAGTGTGTGTGTATGAGAGTGTGTGTGTGTGTGTTCATGCCTACACCCTAGAAACATTCCAGCCAAAAATCACAAGGCGCCGTTTTGGGACTGGTGAGCTTACTGTACTCCTGACTGTCTGAGAGGACGCAGATCCATCGCGGTTCCCACAGGGCTGTGGCCGCCTCCCCACCAGGGGCCGGGCGGGCTCCCCGTTGCACGGTGCTCACACGAGTTTATGAATACTCTCGTTTATTTCTCTCCCTCTGTCCTGCCCCCTTACATGATGGTGCTCTCCCTGCAGGTCATCAAGAAGGAAACTGGATTTTGGAGAGACTTTGGGTTTGGGATGACGTGCCAGTACCGGTCCGACTTCATCAACATCGGTGAGCGAGCCCGGCTGCAGCAAGCCTGCACCTCTGCTGCCACCCAGAGGCCGCCGGCCTGCGTGGGCCTGACGGCGTCGCTCAGGTTCCCAGGAGCCGGTGGCAAAGGAGGTGCCATTTCCTAAGAAAAGGCCGTTTCTCCTGTCGTGGACTCAGGGGCTGGACCAAGAGGGGCTGGAGGTCTGCGGTCCTTTACCCCTGTCGTCTCCCCGGCACCTCTCAGTCACCCCCAGTAGGGCACAGGCGCGCAGTCCGAGGGGGAAGGCAAATGGTTACATGAGGCAGCTCTGAAGCAAGTCCCCAGGTCCCCCTCCAGCCGGGTTCCAGCTCCTGCACCCTGTCATGTGGCACGTCCTGGGCCTCCCCAGTGAGAGGAGCCGTGAGAAAAACAAGGGCAACGTGGAGAACTTTGTCATATCACATGCCAGAAAAGATCCGCATCTCTCTGCTGAACTTCAAAAATTCTAGATGTCACTTCAAGCCCTAAGTGTGCAGTCACTGTCAACATGCACATACACGTGCATATGCATACACATGCACATGTCACACACACACACACGCCCGCAGGTCCCCAGAGCAGAGAGGGGAAAGGCCCTGAGGTTGCAGATGAGGAGACCAAGTCTCTTAGAGGCAAAGGGACCTCACAGCAAGTGAGGGACATAGGATGAGGGGAGAGGGTCTCCCGCCCCCTTGGAAATACCACCCCCATCCTGGTACTTACTCATGGGCCTGTGAAGGGAGTATGACTGTGACTTATACATGACTAGGGTATGAATGAACAGGCCCCAAACGTTGGTCTTGGGCTCAGGGTGGACCCCAAGCCGGGATGGAGTCAGGGAGGCCCTGCCCTCACACATCGTGGAGATTCCCATCCCTACGGCCTCCCTGCGGCCCCCAGGGCCTACTTATCTTGCTCTCTCCCCGTCTCCTCCCCTCGGGACCAAGGCCTAAAGCTTCTCCTTTTAAGGTCAGTGAGTCGGTCCGAGTAGCTCCAAGTTTCTTTTGTCCAGAGGTGAGGTGGGCTATAGGACTCTAGAACCCTCACAGAAATCACCAGGTTAAAAACCAGAAACCACCAACCAACCAGCTTGAAGTGAAAGCCCGCAAGCAGCCGCAGAGCACCCAGGCCGTCGTGCTCCAGGTGGTGGGTGCGCTCAGACACCCAGCACTAACCACTTGGATGTCTCCAAGAAAGAGTCTTAAATGAGTCTGTGCAAATCAAATTTCCAAAAATGACACATTTTTTAAATTTTCTAAAGGAAAGTTCCATTTCAAAAACTCTTGTTTCCTTGCTCTTTGTACAAGGAAGATAATTTTGTGATAATGTATGTTTATCAAATTTGGATTTACAACATATAGGATTTCCTAAAGATGGAGCATAGTGCTAACTGAAAAACATGGGAGTGGCAGGCTGGGTAATTGCCATGACCTTGGAATCTTGGGGTCACATCCAGACCCCAGTCATTCTTTGCCGTCTTGATGTATCTGCAAGTGTCTGACTTGCACACCTTTATTTAATAAGTTGTAATGATACCGATAAGTATCATTATAAGATAATTATTAGATATTATAAGATAATGATAAGTCAATTACAGCTAACTGAGGACTGCCCCTCACATCACTATCTCATTTGGTTATGACACCGACTTCATTTTGGGATAAAGAAACCAAAACTCAGGAGAGGTGAGGTGGCAGCTGATACGAGAACGAAGACTCAAATTCCAGACCCTGACTCAGAATCATACACCTTTCTTTGCCTGGGGCCATCAGCCACTCGTATACTGGCCAGGGGTGGGAGGTTGTGAGTTTCCCTGTGTGTGAGCCCCCCTCTCCAGCCCCAGGGATGGTCTGGATCAGGCAGGGCAGCCGGGGGCTGCATGATGACGCCAAGCGTCCCATCACTGTTTCTTGTAAGGGTCGAGTAAACCCCCCTGGGGAGAGAAGGGCACAGTGAGAGAAAGAGGCCACTGCTTCTTTGGTTCTCTTTGAGACTTGGTGGGCTTTAGGTTAAGAAAAGACGTGGGGCAAGTTTGCAAAGGTGAGACTTCAGGGGCCCATCACTCCGTGAAGGAGTCCGTGAAAGGAGAACTTCAGGACTGACTGTGAGGCCAACCCCTGGAAACTGACTGATCTCTCCAGCCTGTGGGGGGACACAGCTTGGGGGGCCACTTTAGTCTCTGAAAGGAAGAGTGCTTTTGGGCGACGTGATTTTTTCACCCTGAGACCCTGTTTCATCTTTCACACTGCAGGCCCCTGGTTTAGTCTCTGCGGTGGCAGGACGAGGCCACAGTCAAACAGAAATACAAGAATTTTCATCCACAGGTCTCGAGTTGACAAGTGGGGGCTGCTGCAGCTCCCCATCTGAGGCGAGGGCTGCTCCTAGCGCTGCTGGGAGCTCTTGCGAGCAGGCGAAGGCGGGGCGGTCTGTTTGCAGTCTTATCTCAAGGAGTGGGTGCTGGCTGCCAGGAAGGCGCTCTCTGTTGGGGATTTCTGAGTTCTCTGACACAGGTGGACACATGCATAATTTGAAGGGTGGTGAAACTCATGTCCCCTAACTGCTGATTCCCTCCATGCACAGTTCTGTGCATGGGCAGAGCGAGAAAGCAAATACGGGTCAGGAGATGGCCGCGCAGCGTGACTCAGCAGTGTGTTCCCTCCTGACAGGTGGCTTTGACTTGGACATCAAGGGCTGGGGCGGCGAGGACGTGCACCTTTACCGCAAGTACCTGCACAGCAGCCTCATCGTGGTGCGCACGCCTGTGCGGGGCCTCTTCCACCTCTGGCACGAGAAGCGCTGTGTGGACGAGCTGACCCCCGAGCAGTACAAGATGTGCATGCAGTCCAAGGCCATGAACGAGGCCTCGCACGGGCAGCTGGGCATGCTGGTCTTCAGACATGAGATAGAGGCCCACCTTCGCAAGCAGAAACAGAAGACGAGCAGCAAGAAAACCTGAACTCCCGGGACAGACTTGGGGAGAGGTTTTATTTTTTTTCCTTTTGCAATTACTGAACAAGTGGCTGCAACAAGGAAAAGATTTCCATAAAGGGCAAAAAAAAGAATTAGACTGATAGTAAAAGAGACAAGCGGGGAGAGCCTCCGATTTCTCTCTGCCTATTTGGCTTAATGCAACAGGAGTAAAAATCTGCCACTTTGCCTGCAGAAGTAGCCCAGATGCCCCATGCAGTGTCTGACAAAGGTAGAAGGACTGTGAGATGATGAGCCTAATGGCCTGGGGGTTTTGACTGTGTTTACAGCAAAGTGCGATCTGTCGTTTTCTGTGCTCATTGAAATGAGCATTAAGACCAGTCTTGTAAGAAGTTGATTAGAATGAAAGGTGAGCACATTTCCCCCACATGGATGATGATTGCAGTGGGGCCTAGTGGGTAGGAATGCTGAAGTAAGTATCAGAAGGCAGGCGAGGAGACTGTGACGTTTGAAGATACGCTCCTCGCCACCCTTGAGTAGATTAAGCAAAAGCAAATGGACTGAAAAAGAAAAGAAACCATAACGACTGTGTTGTTTCCCCCCAAGATTAACCAAAAATAATCTGCTCATCTTTTTGGTTGTAGTTGTAACTATCTCCATTTGTTAATTTTATTTAAAAATGCACTTTTTTTTTGGCTTGTGAGTTATATTCTGCTTATTTAATTACCAATTTGCAAGCCTTACTAAGAGAGCACAAATTAGCCTACATTTTTATATTATTTAAGAAGATACTTTTAGATGCATTATGAGATCTTTCAGTTCAGAGTATCAGATTGATACCCGGATGCAAGGACGTGCCAGTGCTGTCCTGTCAGCGCTGCCGGCCCCACCTGCAGTCGTATGGAAGGCGTAGCATGGGGCTGCTGACAGGTCAAGACACAGAGACTGCACCTGAAGAGGAGCAGCTGAACACTGGAGGGAACGAAAATAAGCTTTTTACCTTCACAGAAAAGAAAACTCTTCAGACTAGAACCGTGATTTATTCACAAGTTAAAAAGACACATTTTCTTCTCGGGAGAACTGGAGAACATTTTCTTACCTGTTTAAATAAACCAAAGTATACTGTGTGAACCAAACAATCTCCTTTCAAAGCAGGGTGCTCTTCCTGGCTTCTGGCTTCCATGAGAAGAAATGCAGAAAAAAGTATTTTGTAAGAGATCCCTCCATCTGCCAGAGCCGAGTAGGATGGAAGATTTTGCTACATGTTCACTCACCCCAGTCTCGGGGGAAAGAACTTAATTATTTTTTAAATTAAGCAGTTCTACTCAGTCACCAAGATGCTTCTGCAAATTGCATTTGATTACAGTTTCCAACTATTCTCTTAAAAAATAAATACAATTAACATTGAGTGGTTTCTACATGCACATGAAAATTTATTAGCCAGCACCAGATGCATGAGCTAATTGTCTGATACCTTGTCTTCTGTTTGCCCAGTCAACTCATTGTTTAAAAGCCTCAAGAACATTCAAGCTGTTGGTGTGTAAAAAAAGAAAAAAAATGCATTGTATTGATTTGTAATGGTAGTTCATAAAATTTAATTAATTAAAACACAGGACATGAATGGAAGGTGGCGTTGGACAGCTAATAAAATATAATTAATTTGTTGATATGATTTCTTCTTGCAGTAAGAATACCAAATAATTAGTTTTGGGAAAACAATATTTTGTGCATAGGCCAGGGTTTCTCAACCTTGGCACTATGGACATATTGGGTAAGATCACTGTTTGTGGTGGGGCTGTCCCTGTGCAATGTAGGATGTTTAGCAGCATCCCTGGCCTCTACCCTCTAGATTCCAAGAGCATCTCCCACCCAGGTTGACAACCAACATGTCTCTAGTCATTGCCAAATGTTCCCTGGGGGGCAAAACCACCCTTGGTTGAGAACCACTGGTTGAGAACCACTGGTCGAGAGGGAGGAGAACCATAATGAAAAACCTGGTCATTCCTACATTTTACTTGTCCTTTTTAATTAGAAGAAATTGAGCAGTGATTTCCAAGGCCCCTTCAACTCTGTTTTTCAGATTTTCACCTACCGTGGTGATACTAGAGAGTCAGGGCACATGTCTGCCTGTTTCTCTAGTGGTTCCGATGGCTTTGTGGGTCTGCCCTGCACACTCCTGCCTGTGTTCTCCCAGTGTCAGGCGGATACATTTCCAGCAGGGCTGGCACCGGGGAGCAAATGTTTTGGCCAGGGAATGAGGCTCCATGTCCAGCAGGTGGTGCAGTCCCAGGCTGCCCTCTGTGGACTACCTGGCCATTTGTGCTTGTGTAAATTGCATATCGGAGATGTCCAAGACAGTGGCTAGGAATGGGGTTTTAAAAGTTGCTGAGGGTAGCTGAAGAGAAGAGGAAACAGCATAAAGTAAACTATTTCTCTCTTTTGAAAGCTTAGGTAAAACGGTCTTGTCAAAAGGTAGGAGCCTCTCAGAGCATGCGCAAGGCTGGATGTGTCCCAGCTCAGGCTGCTGTAAGAACAGACCACCACAGACGGGCTGAGCAGCAGACATGGATTCTCACGGCCTAGAGGCTGGGGAGTCCGAGATGATACAGGCACCGGCAGGCCCGGTGTCTGGTGAGAACCCCTTCTCGCTCTGCCCTCACGTGGCTGAGAGCAGACTGAGGGCTCGCTCTCCTCTGTTCTTAAAAGGGCACCAATCCTGTCATGGGGGCTCCACCCTCATGACCTAATTACCCACCCAAGGCCCCACCTCCAAATACCATCATATTAGGGCTTCAAAATATGCATTTTTGGGGGGCACAAACCTTCAGGCCACAGCAGGACCTATCCCCATTCCCTGCCCGAGACATACACAGAAGGAGGGTTGAGGAAGGCGCCACTGAAACATTACAAATAGGGGCTTAGAATTTAACCTCAGACAGCAGAGGAAAGCAGTCCTTAACCTGTGGCTTGAAGGACCCAGTCACATTATGTCTGCTAAAGAAGGAGGCTGCCAGGGAAGCACTGAGTCTTGGGCTTGTTTAAGGCCCCTTCCAACCCTCTGCATCGTCCCCATTAGTACTGTGTATGGATGGCCTGGTACTGCCCGTCATCTCCCTGGAGCTGGGTCTTGACTGTAAGGCTGGGAACTCCTCTGGGCAGCGGTGTACTAACACAGCCTCAGGAGAGCCAACAGTAGCACCTCTTCCCGCTCCCCATTCAGTAATGCAGGCGGGTGGCTTGGAGTCAACCCTGGTGGCAGTATTTACACCATGGGAATTGGCAGTTGGCCAAGGCTACACACCAGGACTCCCCTCCCATCGCCCTGCCCCCCCACCCTGGCCAGTTAGCTTTTACCAGCACACCACTGCCTCCCAGCGGCACACCTCTTGTGCCAGTTTTCCCTCCAGTCTTCCACTTTCTACCCCTCGTTTGTATTCATAAATCTGGCCAACTTGCTTCTCTCCACATGGCAGTGGTGAGAAAATCAGGCCTAGGAATTTTAACAGGCAAACGGAACTTCACACACCCCTGTGTTTAAAATTTTGCCTAAGCCAGGTAGACATAATACATAACCCTGAAAGGTAAGAAAACAGCTACCTAGGACCTAATTTTAATAACTTTAGTTTCAGGGAGAGTCTTCTGATGTTGTCTATAGCCTTATCTCAGCTTAGCAGGTTCAGTTCAGTGTGGTGTTAATATCACGGCTTCCCAGCAAGCACCGGGTTCAAATTCCAGTTCTTGCACTTGCAGCCGGTATGGTCTTGAGCCAGTCACTCAGCGTCTCTGCACCCAGTCCTCCCTCGGGGAGCGAGTGCAGGCACATCCAGATTGCGTGACTGCCGTGAAGACGGAGTAGGTTGATAGGTGTGAAGGCCTTAGGACACGTCAGGCCCGTGGCGGGCCCTCAGGTCCAGCTGGTACTACTCAGTACCAGCTCAGGCACGCCTGTGCCACAGCTGTGTCTGCTGTGCTCCCAGGCCCGGCCAGCCCCTTCTGGGAGTACTCAGAGGGCCATTATGGGTCACCGTTAGAGGTCATGACCCCTCATGTGTGCACTGTTGTCCTTTATTTCTGCCAGCCTGAAAACAATTTCAATCTGTCTGAAGAAGGGTTACCAGGAGTGTGAAATATACAGCAATGGATGCTTTCTCCCTTGAATTCCGTGCTCAGTAATTTGGAGGCAGTTGAGAGGCGTTAGAGGTTTCTGAAGTAGGGAGTGTAGCCAGGCCCCTATGTCGAGTGCCAACCTTCTAAGGCAGGTCATACCGTTGCTTCCATCTTCCAGGTACAGAAAACCAAGGCTCAGGAATGGTAAGGAACTCACCCAGAGGCCTGGCCAGAAAGTGGCTGGCTCCAGGCTCCTGCGTCATGGTCCCATGGCCAGCTCCAGGGGGTTTGAAGGTTGGGATAGGGGTGGGAGCTTTGACCTGGGGCGAGTCCAGGGACTGTCCTCTTGTGCCTTGGTTCCCACCATCTCGCTGCTCTCCAGCCCCACCTGAGAGAGCCCTGACATGAAGGAAAACTTGTTAACAGCGATCCAGGAACACTGACACGGGCTGGCCCCGCCTCCCTCTGCTGCAGTGTGATGACGGGCAGTTAGGGCGCTCCTGCAGGATCCCCAGGTGCTAGACTTAAAGACTGCCTTCAGCAGGAGGGGGAGCAGGTGGGAATACTTGCTTTTTGAAAAAGATCCGACATTGTTTCTGAGAATTGCTGGTCAGAGATAACACCCTTGAGTGGTCCCTTCAGAAGGGCGGGTGTGTTTTACTCCCAACACCCATCAGATAACTGGCAGCTTTGTGTGATCCATATTCTGATTAGCTTTATATTTGAATTCAAAGCTGTTTCTCCTGGCAGGAAGCAGTGCTTTGCTGTTGCTGCCAAAATCTATGGGGGCAGTGCCAGCTGGTTGGGGGTTTGGGTGGTGGTTTTTTCCAACACACAGAGACTGTCCTCCCAGTTGGCAGAGGTGCCTTCAGACTGTCTCTGCAATCCTGCTCCTTTGGACACACCCTCTGGAGAAGTCAGCCCCAGTGCACCTGGGCTGTGTGATGCAGGCGGCAGCCTGGGGAGAGAGGCAGGCACTGCGTGCCCTCAGGGCCCCCTCCGCCCCACAGCCACCCAGAGCTTCAGTGTGGGGGCCAGGTGGCCGTCAGCGGC